CGAGAGCTATTGGCAAGCGAGGCTGAACGGAGACTGCAGCAGGATACTGACTACTGTGACTACGTCGGAGACTCGCAGGATTCCATCGACTCTTTGATGCCAAGCCCACGGCCAGCCCGCTCCTGCAATACCAACCAACTTCATCCTACCGTGTACGAGCGCATACTTCAGTGCGCAGACCCTGACCAACTTTCCGTCATTGACGGGCCCCGTTATCGGAAGTGCAACGCGTCTAACGAAGCGGCCGTGCTTGCATGGCGCAGGCAGCATGACAGTACGCACGGTCTCCACACGAGAACAGCATCAATGACGACGAATGAGTTTCACGCTTGGCTGATGCAGAACCCAGCAGTTATCAGGGAGGTGTTTTTATCTCTACCATTCCCAGAACTTGCTGCCAAACAAAGCTCGGTCGACTTTATGGTCACTTGGGGAGATTATGAGGTGTTTGCAGAGCAGGTGGAGGTGCTCAGAACGGTCAGCGCAGACAACCGCACGCCCGACCGAGTGCGGGAGTTTTGCACAGCATGGATAGCGGCTTGCGATAGCGCGGATGGGGTAGTGAAGCGCAATATCGCCAAGGACTCTACGCGGTGGGACCGACTGCATCGTCTGTTCCCTGCCGTTGCCACACGATCCAAACCTGAGGAAATGGACTCCGGCGACTGGCGCGTACTGCATCTACTGCCTTTTATTGTTGCTGGATGGGCGGATTGTGCGCTTGCCGTCACTCCCCGAGCTGTTCGTGCCAGATGGTTCACCACAAGCACAAATGTGCAACGTTTGTGTGTGGAAATTCGCCAACACTCAAATTGGGGAGCCGCCCCCACTATTGCTCTTGGAACCCACGTGCTAGAACGTCCTCTTGATGGGACGCAACAGCACTAAGGGCACTTCCACTATTCTCTACTACTTCCCCATCGTATCTGCGAAGCAGCTTGGAGTTGACCAACAAAAAGACTTTAAAAGCTTCCGAAAGAAATCTACCCATTCCCGGAAAGCAAGGGAACGACGGCCGCAGCCGAGCAGCGGGTGCTCCAGACTGCATCATAATGATGTTGCCTGGGGACTGGTGTCGCAGAACGTCAATGGTCTGGGAAGTACACAGGCGGCTCGTGAGGAATGGTTCAGTTCTTTCAAGCAACAGGGATCTCATGGGCGACATGATATCGTTCTTCTTCAGGAAACCCACGTGAAGGCGCGGGATGTGAAGGAGGTATCACGTATTTTTTCAGCTACTTGGGGTTTTCGAGCAGTTACACCACCTCTCTCCTACTGGTCACCGACCGATGACAACAAGGGAGGCGTTGCAGTGTTGGTTGATCCATACGGAGCATTCTCCAACGTTACACCTCTATTAGAGCACAAATGGTCCCCACACTTTATGGAGCTACAAGGCTTTCTCGGCGGAAGTCCAGTGGTGTTGCTCAATATTTACGCACCGTGCAAAAGAGGCAAACGCGAAGCTTTCTTCACCGGTCTGGCAGAACTTCAGATCCCACGTGACTGCAAAGTTCTCATGGGCGGCGACTTCAACTGTACGCTTGACCCAGTACTCGATCGTAATCGTCCAACTGCCCCCGGTGTGCACGATTCTCCGGCTTTGCGTCGGCTTTTACGGAACTGGGCACTGGAGGACGCGATAATGCCCTTTCGTCCAAGCCGGGATGGCTGGACAGCACCTACCATTGCTCACCACCACGCCCTTACTCACACTTATGGGTATACGGTGAAAGTTGGTGGCACTGGAACCAGTCGGCTTGATCGTTGGTACTTGTCTGCGAATGCTCATGAATGGATCGGAGGATTGGAGGTGTTACCGCTGAAGCGAGGCGCTGATCATCATGCGGTGGTGGCACAGATTCGATCCCCTATCGACCCAATCAGGATCAGGAAAGCAACCAAAGTATTTCCGGTTCCAGCATTTGCCAGCGAGGCTGTGCGCGACCTCACAGTTAGCGCAATTCGTGAACTATCTGTGAATGTGAAACCAGAGGAGACCACTGGGCAACAGGCGGCGGCAAGCTGGGACCACTTCAAGTCAACTATAAGTAAGTTAACGAAACAACGCGTCAAGCAGCTTCGCCGACGGTGCACGAGGTCATACCGCAGGAGACTTCGACGCCTTCGCAAGCAGCTAGATAGAGCCATTGCAGAACGCCTTGATAACGACGCCACAATCGCGACGATAACAGCGGATATGGACGTGCTAACATTGGAGAAACATCGAGGGTTCTCCAAGGTGCAGCGCGCTCGGGCAGCGATTGCGGAACTCCAACGAGACCGTGCATTAGCCTCTAAAACAAGGATGTTTCGCTCTCATGAGTGGAATGACCAGAAAACAACTAAGGAATTTTTCAGACGCGTCAGCACCAAGTTTGGAGACAATGTGATCCCGACGCTGCAGCCGGTCGACGGGTGCCCCAAGCGAGAAGTTCACGATAAGGCCAATATTCTGGCCGATGCGTGGACTCCGATCCTTCAGCAATCACCTGGATCACCTGAGGCGCAACGTTCAGTGCTATCATGGATTGGCTACAAACCAAATGACTTCGTCCATGGCTGCCACAACACAGCCGATCACGGAGGCTGAAGTACGTCAAGCCATCAAGTTTTGCAAGCCAGGAAAAGCACCGGGACCTGACATGTTGGGGAACGAT